AGCAAGGAGACCACAGGATTGAAGCGGATGCTGCCTTGACAGACACGCGCCCGTCGAGAGGGCTGCTCTCCAAAAGATCTGCACTTAAAAGATCTGCACTTGCCTCTTGCCCGCCGGGTCACAGAAATTTACTTCTCGGGTGCCTTGCGGCCCAGAGCCGTGGCCGCGCTCATACTCCTCCACCTGGCGACCGAGAACAACGGTAAGGCGCGGTTTGGCAGGTGCAGGCCGGCCTCGGCCTCGGCCATGGCCTGATGGCCTGATGGCGATGGCCTGGAGAAGTTTTATCCCAGCTGGCGAGCCGCAGGAGCCGCGGATGTGACAAAAGCGCTTGCCACCTGTGCTTTGGTTCCTTCTCTGCACTCTACGAGCATCCTGCTCCTCACCAAGAATGGCACCAGCTCCGTATTTCACTACACGGCCTAGATGTGTGTCAACGCGACCTTGGCTTCGGCACACTGGTCCTTCGAGATTCACTCGGCGCTTTTTTCGAGCTGTCCATCGACCACTCACCGCAGCCAGGTTACGAGACAGCTTCAGGCCAGGTCTAGGCCAGGCATTCCTATACAGCCTACAGACGAAGTCCGATTGCTAGGTGCCAAGGTTGGACGTTGAGGCTTCAGGTATGAAAGGGCCCTCTCAGGTCAGTAACCTCGAACTCAGCTAGCAACATGCACCACAACCCGCGGAACACGCGTTCGGATGCATCAGCTTGATCTCTCGATGAGTGTCTTACCTGCGAACCTCAACTCGAGGCAATTGCCTCAGTCCTCATGGCGAGGCCGTCTGGACCAATTGGCACTGAAGGATGAGGCGTAAGGTGCCGGGTAAAAGCTGGTGAGTTTGAGGCATACACAGGTTCGTGGTCCTGACCCGGGCAATCTGCTATGTTCCTCGGATTATTTTCCTCGGATTGCTAGAGCACACACCCCGAGCGTCTGCAGTTGGGACATTGAGATGGTACTAAATCACACGTCGATCTGATTTAAAGGCGCTCCTGAAGACAAGAACCTAGGCCCTCAGGCGCAAAATAATTGTCTTTGCAAAGATTTCTGGAGAGGCTTCTCCAAAGCCAGTGCTGTAATATCTGTCGTCCGACGATGACGAGATTCAGCGCAACATAAAACTGGATGTCGCCGTCATTCGTCGGTAGAGGTTACCCCTGCATTTTCTGGCTTGGGACAGTGCACTTTCCCGAAGAACGCTGCGCTTAGTACGCTTTCAGATTTACAAGGTAGCGACCAAGCATGTGCAAAGCGGGCACTATAAGGGCGTGTGCCACCAAACTTCTCGTGCAAGGTGTGTACTCTCTCGACATACTGAATCTGGGATGCATCGGTCCTTTGGGCCTTCTGCGAACTGGAGATCTGATGTCTAAAGCGGAAAACTCGAAGTTGCAGTTGCTGTGCAACAGGAAAATAGAAAAGATCATCCTATCCAGGAAACAGAACAGGGCAAGCCACACGCGACAAAACACACAAAGACATGAACTTCCTCTACGTTGCTGCGAAGGAAGACGAGGTTCGGAACGAAGTGATGATTCAAAGGATTCTGAGAAAATGCTGAATGACATGGTGGTGCTGGACTGTGATGTGACCATCATGGCAGGTAGCAGAGATTCAGTGTACAAGCACAACCCCTGGACTACATCGATCGCATTTGCCGCAGTGCGGGGCTGTCCCTAAAACTCTCGTTCCAAAACCTACTCTGCAACCAAGCCAATGGACAGAAAAAACTCGTTGACGTGAGAAATGTCAAAAGATGATAAACGATGTAGAGAAAATAACCAGGTTTATTAAGAATAGCATCAAACATGACCGAAACATCTCCAGCCAGCTCCCCGCTATCGTGTTGCACCTTAGATTTCCTGCGCAGCTATCGGCAGAGACCTCCGCATCCCAAAACCTATGAAATGCTGAAACTTGGCCATAGCCAGCTGCTTGCAAGCATCACTGTCGCAAGCTCACGATTGGCATGGCTTGGGAATGGCGTACCTGATCATGCATCGACTGGGGAATTGAACAGATGGCGTACCTGCTTCCACAAATGTGCAGTCATGCAAAGGAAGCAGTGCCCAGCAAGCACCATCCTAGCACATCCCCGTGCCCGCTAGCCGACTGCAAGCATCACGAATCACAACGGCAGTCCAAGGCCACCTTTTTTCGAACCACACACTCAGGGTTCTCTCTGCGCAGTGATGATCCTGCTCGGTATTGAGCCTCCACCCATGCTCTGACAACAAACATGGGCGGAGGCGAGAAGCAAACACAGACTCCTTCTGCTTCCGTGACCGTCTGCCCCTTCTCTCTCAAATACAAAATCTCGGTAAGAATGCTCTATTCGGCGTTGCGAATCCTCTGCAGAAATCTACTGCTCCTACCGAACAAAGCTCCAGTGACACTCCCGGAACAATTCCACTGGTCGTGAAGGTCTGAAAAAGACAAGGCAGAGCCTAGAAACCAAGGATTCAAACCCTGTCATGCAACAGTGGTCAGCGGAATGCACATCCTCTTGATCTGCAAAAGAAGCAGGAGGTCTGATGCAAATGGGCAAGGGAATTCAGGTCTCGCACATCTCAAGTCAAATCTCAACATACCTGGATCACAAGGCGCATCCACTTGAGATGCGAGAGACCCTATCTGCGAGGTCCTGTCGCTGCATGGGCTTCAAACATGCAGCAGAAACAGGGCTACCGGGCTGGGCTGCTTCGCATGCCTTGCCCGATCTTGCACGCATAGCCAGCCTATAGGATTAAGATGTGCTGCGCACAGCGGGCAATTTGTCCCAGCTGTGCCATCTCATCCCAGAGACGACTTGGTGCTTGGGAGCACCGAATAACCAGCAGGACCCAAATGCCAGCTGGCCAAAATCGCTCAAAACCTCACGGTTAGGGTGTGGACAGCATCACAGAAAGGCCATGCTGTCTGCTTCACTCAAGAGTTTTCAAATGTCGACCTCCGCTTTCTTGGCATCCTGGCATCGGCAAAGTCAGACACAGAACGCAGGATCTTCGACATGTTCTGATCTCCTCAACCGACAACATGTCACCGTCCTGCCTGAGCCTTCTTGTAGACCTGTTTCGGAACCGGCACTTCGCTGACTTGCTCCATCATCTGGCACAGCCTCAGTACAAAGGAAGTCAGGGACACCCGCGACGCTCAACCAAGCGTTCACGCTGCATTGGCAC